ATTCGGTTTGCTTTGTTATTCTAATAATTCAGTTAACAAAATAATAATTTCAGATTGTAGACAGAAGACCTACGCATAAGGCATTTGAGGCATTAGTACTGTGTGGTTAAAATATAATACAACACTAAAGTTAATATAAATGATGTCGCTAAAACATCTAAACAGACACATGTTATAAGCACTAAGACACACAGACTCTACGCCTAATTCATTTCAGGCATTAGTACTATGTGGTGAACATATACTATAATGCCAGCATATAACACAATCTGTCACAACAGTCAACGTCGAAGTCAGAACGCTTTGTCTATCTTTCAAGAGCCCCATTCTTACGGACATGTATCTCGTTTACATCCTGGTGAGAGCTAATGAAAAGTAGAATTAGAAAAACAGTTCAAATGAAAAGATAATGGGATAATTTATTTCAATACTCTACAAAATGATAAAATTCTCGGTGAGTAATATTAATTGTTTTTTCGAATAAGACTGCAATCGCAAAGATTATAACATGCCGCTTTTTTTTATTATTATTATTATTTTAACATTTTTTCGGCCGAAGAAACGAAATTTCAAAGAACAGCTGTTTTAAGAAAAATATAGTTATAGTTTTAATACTCAGTTTTAAAAATACAGAATTATGTCCTATACATAATAATTTCCATGTACTCTGACAAAGGACATCTGTCTCGTTTAACCTCCTGCAAAACATGCTAAACAAAACATGAATATGTAAAAGATGCTAAACAAAACATGAATATGTAAAAGATGCTAAACAAAACATGAATATGTAAGAATTACATATGCATTCATGAATTTTCATTACCGATAAAATATGTGTCATAAAATATAATATCAGAGTTTACGTTATATATGTAAATATATAGTTTATGACATATATTATATTTAATGTTTAATTGCGTATGTAAAACATACAAAGTGAAAAAAAAGACTTATCAAAAATATATAATAAGCAATATTATATAATATTTCCTTAATTGTCTATAACGTATTATGTATATCCTTATAAATATGTGAACAACTCTGAACAAGAATTATTACTTTCATTTATGAACAAAAATGATGTAATTATAATTAAAATAACTAATTATCTATTGCTAATATACAGTGATATTACATATCACATACTTTTTACCCAAATTTGTGCTTCTGTGGGTTTTAATTGCGGCATTTTCTGAAAGTGCTTCTTTCCTATCCATAATTAATTTGAAAAATGTATCTGAAATTTTAGATAATGGTAATTTAGGCAATTAATTTTCTATAGTTTTTTAAATAAAGATCCGTTAATTAAAATATTAAATAATGCTTTTCTCTGAATTTGAGTTATTGAACAATCATTCATTAATTTCTGCAGGTACTTCAAAGAAATCCATTACTAGGAGTAGGCACTTCTGAAAAGATTGCGGTTTAGCTTGTGGCAGTGTAATATAAATTCCTTGCTGTTTTTTGTCAATTAATAATGTTGTTGTCATTTAACCGTTTTACACAGAATCATATTTTTTTTTATTTTTCTTTTATTTTTATATTCTATTCTATAATTATAGCACTATAATTTAAATTTGAAAGACGTGTTCAATTCTAATATTTTTTTTTAATACAGCACGCGTATTTGAGGGCTTCTATTAGTATTTTACGTGTGCTGTAACGCCTAAACACAGCACGCGTATAACTTATTGATTTTGAGGTCACAAAAATAAAATGGCTTCTTTTAAAAAAATTCAGTTTGGCTCAAAATACACTGTTAAAGTTTTAGTAACTCTCAACGGATGGGCAAAAAGCTTTGGTAGTGTTATATTTTAGTGTGCTGCTGTTATATTGCACTGCACACTAATGTTTGATATTGTTGCGAAAACCCAGCTGCGGTAAGATAGCTTCCTCACAAAGCGGGTTTAGGGTTGTCAGAAAATGGCAATGAAAGGCAGGGCTGCCAGATTTGGCTCGAAATCGCTGATTTCACGACAAAATTGGATATATGCCATAGACCGAGCGAGAACATTCTAGAATGAATTCTTACCTGTTCACACCAGAATGTTCTCGGAAGAGGTCAGAAGTTATATAAACCTTGTCTGTACGCGGGATAGCAGTGTATCGTGAAGGGTATCTTGAGCCCCGAGAGCGATCGACTGTCTCCGGGGCTGTTTTTACGGTTTTGCGGTGAAGCTGTCTTCACCGCTATAGTCTGCAGGCTGTGTTGCTGATTGTTTCAGCGTGTTTGTCGTAGTTTTCTACAAATTAAACGTGTTTTGGGACCTGTCCTGTGTAATCATGGCAAATAAATCGTTTTTTTTTTCAATTTTTATCATGTGTTTTCATCAATCACTCCAAATCCACTAGTCCGTAAAACACAACAATACGTTCAAAGTGTTGGCACTGTTCACCAACTACAGCATATCACGTTCGATATTCGCTGCTCGATAGCAGCTCAGAGGTTATACAGGGTTTTTGTCCGTAAACAATGTTTTTGAGAGTCCCCTGTAATGAATATCCAGAAGAATGACATATGGGGAACGTGAGAGATACACTTTGACCAACTCATTTTTCGAGTAGTTTTATTGAGAAACATGATAGTACAACATGATAGTATTGGACTGATAGTAGAGACTACTATCTCATCTTGTTCGAGAAAAACATCTCGTCACCATATTGGCGATATGGATGCTTCTAGCTATTGCAGATATTCCTCAACGGTAACTCTGCTGTCAAAGGAAAATGGTCTAAAGCCATGATATTACAACCCGTACTTAGGGCAAGAGGAATAGCGCATAAAATTATGAAGATTATTAACAACAATAAAGAAGCCATTGGCATTGTGTGAATCGTGTATTTGTATAGTTGTGTGGTGATTTTTGTACTGGCGTCACTGGCGTTTGTACTGGCGTTTGTACTGGTCATAGGGCAAACTCTGTTTTGCAAGGTGGACATGTCTACGCCCTAACAAAACAAAAAACCCGTACGATACAGTAATTCCCGGTAGATTCACGGCTTTGCCCACGAGGAAATCCGAATTCATAGTGGTTTGGTTTGGTTTGGGTTTGTGATTACGGCAAAGTCTGAAGGGTTATTTGCCTAAGGGGAGAGATACCTTCGTGGAAGACTTCTAAGAGAAACTAGCTCGTATACGTGTTATGCATTAGGAAAACCACGAAAACGTCCCTGCAGCTACCACGTGCGCGGAATTCAAACATCTGACCAAACTACCAATGTTCAGCGACTTACCGCCCGGCTGCTGTTGAGCGATTCATAGTGGAGCAGTAGACACAAGTATTTCGTTTGAATGTGGCATCATAGGACCACTTCTTCACAATTACTGCAAACATTTCGTTATTGTCCACCATGTTTTGAAGTCACTTAGATATTCTGATCTGCGACCTGGGTCGTTTTCGTTCATTGCCTGGAATTTGAGTTCGTGGCATGAATGCGACGAACACTTCGGCATTCATGCCACGAACACTTCTGTCACTTATATGGGCATAATGTCTCACAGACCTTTATAATAAATGAGCGAACTCTTCTTAAGTACAGGAGTTAACAGGAGTTACTGCAGTGACAGGTCGTCGAAAATGACGTTTGAACACATTTGTAACACAATCGTCGGTTTCAGATTTGTCAAGAATTTCTGAAATATTTGAAGGTGTTGGTGGTTTTGTTCGAATTTCGTTCCGCCATTTCATTGCACTTCAGTGATTATTTTTTTCATTCTTCATGCACCTCCTCAGGACAACCTTCTTTTTTTTCAAATGCCAACCTTGTAGCAGTGTTGAGTCGCTCGCATCACCTACAAAAAAGAACAAGAAAAAGAAACAATTTATCATGTTGCAATGTAATAACGGGACATTAAACTGTAACGCTCTAAAGACAGGACAGGACAGGACAGGAACAAGTACAGGGGGCACCACGCCATAACCTTTGACAAAAATGGTATATCCCCCATGTACTACCTCTCTGGCGTACCGCCCCTTCCACAAGGGACCTGATTACGGTATACATAGAACATAGTACTAACAACAAATAAGACATAGAATATCATACTGTTACAATATACTTCGACACATAGGACATAGCATTAACATATGGTTACAGATTATTTACAGTGCAAGAAGCTATGTTCATTACAGAGCTTGTTGGTTTTTGCACCGCCCATAAATTTTCAGAATATTATTTTAAAATAACCATCTTGTTACCAGTGTATAAGTAATTGGTTAATCTTTGGATTAGGGTAACTTGGAAATGTTTTGGCTAAAATTTGGCGACCAACCCTGCTACAGCAACCTGCTAGTTTTGTTTCGGACGCCATTTTGTGTTCACGAAGTAAAGGCTTTTTTTTTTTTTTTTTTTTTTTTTTACTCAACATGTTTTTCCCAACAATCTGCTAGCCCGAATTACGCTTATGGCTAGAACTTTTATGGAACAAAAGTGCTTAATCATGACGAAGATTAGGTGCGAAAATTGGGAGAAAGTGCAAGAATCGCAAACTATGCTTGCACGGGTTTTTAAGAATTGCACATACACGGTATCATCCATGTACACGTCGACCTATTTTCACTTAAAAAAAAATCCCAGAAATTGCACAAAAATGGCATTGCGCACACTCTTGACTATCCATGTACACTGCTAAAGTCCTAGCTAGTAACCTTTATCGCGTTACCAAAATGTCGCCAAACTACCTGTTACCATATTCCAAAGATTAGCAGAAAAGTGTTTTATTTATTATATAAATAATAATAACAAACGCATAATTACCAAATATATACTTTGAGATAAAATCATAAAATTATGTTACGCAAGTTATTTATTTAAGCCATTTTTCACTATGCTCTCTCATATTAAATCATGAATAAATTATTCGGCGTTCTAATTATGTCTTACATATGTGCGGAACTCTATTCATTTGAAATTATAGTACTATGAATTATTAAATACATAATGCATTATAGTACTTTTTATTTCCGTAAATAGTAACCTATTATTTATATTTATTGCAGGAAGGCAGCCATAAATCGTATCGGCCGCTCACAGTTCTGAGTTTTCGAGCGAATTACGCCGTCCACGGCCTCAAGCCCTTCGGTTACCACCTCGTCAACGTCCTGCTCCATGGTATCGTCTGCCTCCTCTTCTACAGGTAGGTAACAGTTATTATTCATTATTCATAAAAATTGACTTCATGCACAGTGGATTAATAAAAAGCGTATTAGGAAAATGGAAAAGTAAGCTTTAACTCTGCAGCGATCAACAAATTGATAACAAATATTAAAATAACCTAACACTGAAATATCTGTTAGAAGTAAACAACAAAAATTTCACGCAAATTAGGGAAGCATTAAAAATTTGGATGTATTATTAGTGTGAAGTGTGTAATGAAATATTTTGCATTCATTTCCTATGTTCTCGATGAACACAGCTTTTGACCCTGAAATCGGAATGTATGGTGTCTTTAAAGGAACTTTTTCTTTTCTTTTTTTACCTCCCGGCCAAAGGTAAAAGAGGTAATGTTTTCGGTCCAAAACTTTGATTTTTCAGTGAATAAGCGCAAATGCGGTTCCCAAAAGATGTTTTGCTATTTCTCCGGTGGTGACTGTCTGTCTGAGCGTACGAGTGTGACACATGAAAAGTTTATTCTCATAAACACTTTGCCTTGATTACATATTTTAACCGTTATATTATACCAAATCCAGACATCATCCTCCACACTGATACCGATTTACGTATCACCGATTATTTTTGTGACGTCTGTACGTACGGCATACATACGTATGTACGTTATGTGAGGCACATAACTCAAAAACGAGTAGCCTTAGAACATTGAAACTTTGTATATGGGACAGCTATAACATGCATTTGTGCACGACCCTTTTTCGTTTCAATCGGCCGCACCGAATATATAAAATACTCACTTTGTCGCCCGGCTGAATGAACTCTGTTTAATTACATTCTTACATGTTGGCAATTTGTTGTACAATTTTTTGCTTTAAAAGTGATTGAATTATGTTGCTCTTATGCTCCGGCTAAGGTTTTTATGACTTTAGTTGATCTGCATGCAATAGTTGTAGAATTATAAACAATTATAAAATTCTTTAAATGCTAGTAAGCCCAACAGAGTTGACATTTGCGTACATTTGAAATTCTTAGTTTAATGCTGAATTAAATTAGTTTTTGCACCATGTTCAGTGTCTTTTTCCCGAATGGAACCATACGTAAACTTTCAGGTCTTTTTATTATTAACATTTTGTGTCTATACTTTATTTATTAAATATCACAGTTTTGGAGCTTACGTCACATAAAATTCGATTTAACAGCAAACTCACAAAATACATAAAAACAGCATATGTTTAGAATTTGCCGCAGTCTCTCGCGCTGGAAAAAATGTATTTACTTCCGTGCTCTAGCTGCCTTTGAAATCGTTGAATTTGTTAATAATAAATTCGTTTACAAAATATGTTATGGAGAATAAAACGAATTCGAAATTTGACCTTCCATGTGCCTATGTTTGACTATGGTATTTAGAAATGGATGGCTCTCGATACCATTGTTTTTACTTCCTTGTACGAAGTAAAAAGGAAGTATTGTAATCGCGAAAAGATTCAGGCAACATATTTCAACGAAAATATCCATTTTGACCGCTATCGAATGCAATTTAACGATGTTTTTGCGTGATATCTGTACGTAAGAACAGAATAAAAGTCTCTTTTCCTCCAAAAATATTACAAAACTGCTTCAAAATTAATTCTGAAGAGAATTTTTCGTGGCGTCTGTACGAACGTATGTATCTCGCATAACTCAAAAACGAGTAGCCTCAGAACGTTGAAATTTTGTATATAGGACTGCTATAACATGTAGATGTACACCTCGTATTTTGGTTGGAATCGGCCCTACCGAACGTATATAAATATATTTATATATATATCCACACTGTTACCTGGCTCAGTAATCTCAGTTTCTTTACTCTTATATGTTTGTAAATTGTACATTCTTTGCTTTAAAAATGATTGAATTATGTTGTTCTTATCTTCCAGTTAAGGTTTTCATGCCTTTCGTAATTCTGGAAGCAATATTTGTTCAATTATCAACAATTTAAAAGCTGCTTAAGTGCGGTTAAGTTTAAATAACATGACGGAAACATTTGTTTGACACAGCAGAATTGTAGATTTGTTGCCAATTTAGAGAGACTAAGCTTCGCAACACAAAAATAACGCCTTCATTTATTATTGCGAATTAAATCATGCTTAATCCTTTCTGGAATTTTTTCGAGGAAATAAGTGTTTAAGATTTACTTCGTAATTTTTAATGCAGATATTTTGAGTTTTTATGTATTTTTGCTTTGTCGCTAAGTGAGAACTGAATTAATTGAATGAGAAATACTGAATCGTCTGTGAAATACTGTTTCTTTTCTGTTGTGTTTGATTAATTTCTTTCATACATCGTTTTAGCTTTATAATAGTATTTGAATAGAACATGTAGCAACGATAATTCTTCAAATGATATAAATTTTGTGCATTCAGAGTGTCGTTATAGTAAACAAATATAGTGAATTTTAAAGAGTGCAATTATTCTATTGTGGTTTATGCGCTGTCGACGAAGTAGATTTAATTCAGTCGAATCAATTTAAATGAAATTCAAGAAAAAAAATGCGTATAATTTAATATTCTGTACAAGGAAGTCATGTGGAGTACACATCAGATACGTACGTGCGGATTATTTAATTATTTAATTTCTTTAAATATAATACGGGGCTCTAATATTTCACGAAAGCAGTTTGAAACTTGAGATGCCGTTTTTAGTGATTCAACACAAAATGCCATTTCGAGACTAATATCCCATTTGGACTATAGTGACTTTTGGCAAAATGTTAACTTTATGTGGAAGTAGGACGGGAAAAGCTACTTTTACGCCTAGATGTTTACTTTTCTGCACAGAGAGCCTAACTGCAAAGAAACACGTTTTACAGGCAAAACGTCGTTTCCTAATGGACTTTTTTATTAATAAATAACACAAAGGGGATTTCAAGTAAATTGTCCCATTTTTTTTTATTAATATTCTAATTGTTTAAATAATTAATGTAATCAGAAATAATTATTAGAATAGTAAATCTCCCTCTTGCAGAGATATTTTATTTTTTGCCATATTTAAAGTACAGTAAACAAATTTCATAAAATATAAATTTTCATAAAAATGTTGTGATAACTAATGTTTTAGAAACATTACACATTTTGATCTGTGTGAGCAAAAATTGCTTTTCTGTTTCAAAGAATACCCTTTTGAAATATATATATATATACCCTTTTGAAATATATATAGAGATATAGATGCTGACATAACTACCTCTTATTCCGAAGCGAAAATCAATCCAGATTACAAGTCGCTGCCCTAGCTTTCTGCAAGCAAACAATAATTTGAACAAGAAAGTTTTATATTTATTATTCGAATATAGCTTTTTTTCATAAAAATCTTCCTCAATCCGAAATTCTTTAATTGCCAAACAAAATAATGAAGTAATATTTTCATCAAATATTACAAAATTTGTATTATGCTTTTTATCTTCAGAAATAGGTCTGGAGTTTTGTACAAATTAATTCAGAGGTAATAATGTTTGCCGTGAATAATATCACATGAATCAGAATTTCTATTAAATGAATGAATATATCCTGTTTAAAAAACCGTTCAACATATAAATATATGCGTAATTCGTAATGACAGTTAATTTTCTTCAGGTAAATAAGTGGTCAGATAGAAGTTAAAAAATTAGACACCGAACCTTCAAATTGTTTATGTACTATTCTTTTCAGTGATGTAAAAGACCAGATTTGTAATGGTTTGGAAATGAAGCTTTGGCCGTTATATTTCAGGTAAAGGAGCCTTCTTACTAACAAAAAATATATACGTAAACTGTCATGAGCCTTAATCTTTTTTTATACTAATTTAATTTTCCATAGAAAATACCTATTTTTTCAAATAAAATTATTATTTCTAAGTATTCGTTAACATAGCAAAGTTTTGTTCCCAATGTGCGAATCCTACATTTAGAAATTGCTCATCTATGCATATAATAAAAGAAAGAGTATGTCTGTCTGTGTGTCAGTGTCTTTCATTCACGTTGCGCGTAAGCTAATAGACCCACGGCTACGAAATGGTACATAGGTGCATCTAGACAAGAGCCAGTGCACCTTGAAGCGATTTTTTCGAAATTAGAATTAGAATTTTTTTTATTTTATGTTTTGTGACGAAATCGCGTCATTTTGAAACATTGTGGGCTATAGGCAAGTGAGATTTTCACATCGTCATGAAACGTAGGCACTTTGCTATTTTACGAACGTAAAATAAATTTCGTGTTTCAATAAATGGATTAAATACGAATTTATTTAACAAAGTGAACTTAACACCTTCTCAAAGGGATTTTTTCTAAAAAGGTTTATTTTTTAAAATGTACAGTTTATTTTTCTTTGATTTTTGGACACATTAAACTTTCATCCTTGCGACTGCTTTTACAAAAAAGGATTTTGGAAAAATGATATCATTTTGTATTTTTAAAAAAAAATTTAAATGAAGCTTCCGAGTTTACTTCTCACATCTCAAATCTTTAAAAATGTGATTTTGGCAACAATTTTACTTTCAGTATTATTGTTCTTGATAGATTTTTGATAGAAATTCGCATCATTTTGAATTAGTTTCATTCTTTTAGAAATATGGGTTTGGACAACAATTTTTCACTCGTATTTCTTATGTCACTGTTAAGAGATTGGCATATTTCATTGTCATTTTTTATATATATAATGCATTTTTATTGATTATTTTTTCATAAAGTTGTTCTGCAGAGTAAACTTCTGCATGGAATTTTTTTGTTTTGAGTTTCATGTTATATTTGCTTATTTAACTATTTGTAAGATATTGAAAATTTTTGCATGATTTCTTTCCTTCAACGGAAAGTTGGTTAATTTATTTATTAGGATAAATAATATTTGTATTAAGGGATGTTGCTTATTTTATTGTAATTTTGTTATACGTAATAACATTTTTTTTATGAAGTTGTTCTACAGAGTAGTTTTTAAATTTAACGTTTGGTGTTTTTTTTTTTTTTTCCCGATACATTTAACAGCCAGACGGAGGCTGGCAGCGAAGCTGCTTGTA